TTTTCAATCTGTTCGATTTTGGGGGCTTCATCGTCGTTTTTATCAGTTAAAATTTCAGGTCTGGGATGGGACGTTCAGAATCTAAATCGGCGGAGTTTGTGGCTAGGTTACTGGCAGAGGTTGTGGGATGGCGGTTGGGGGTTAGGCCTGGGAACTGTCGATTGGGTTTGGGGGCTGAGGGCTGGGAGCAGGGGCAGGTCCGGTGGTGTGGGCTAGGGCTGATGGGGATGGGGCAGGGCTTGTGGGGCTGGGGTGTTGCGGCGGTGACCTGGGGGTTACGGTGGTGGCCGGAATGTTGCGGTGGCAGCTGTAGGTGGCCGGAATGTTGCGGTGGCAGCTGTAGGTGGCCGGAGTTTATTGGGGTGGAGCCGTGGAGGTAATGGGCGGTGCCGTCGGCACTGACAGTGACCTGCGGCGATGGCCACAGTGCGGCGGCAGCTACGGTGACGCGGGCGGTGGCTATAGTGACACAAGCGGTGGCTTTAGTGACACGTGCGGTGGCTACAGTGACACATGTAGTGGCTACAGTGACACGAACGACGGCCACAGTGACACGAGCGGCGGCTACAGTGGCAAGGAGGGTGGATGTCACTGTGTCTCATGTCACTGTAGCAGTGTGTATATAAGCAAGCTTGTCACTTATTAGTCACATTTCAGGAATTTTTTAAAAAGGTCACTTTTTTTGCTTTTTGCCCTTTTATTAGTAATATTCAAGACAAAAACCCAAAAAACTTTGTTACATTCCTATTAAAGCAACTAATTTTTGGTTCTGCACATTTCTCTCTCCTCTGCACAAATCTCAACCACATAGTTTTTATTATTCTTATTTCTCACCTGCTTTGCACTTGACAAAGTCTACCGGGATGGAGGTAGTATATTATACCAATATATAATTATATATATATATAATTATATATTACTAACTATATTTAAACATGTTCTAAAACTTTGATTGCAAACACTTGTTTTTTCTACTTATATTTTGTTCTAAAATCTGAATTTTTTAAAGTAGTTTTGGAAAAGTGTTTAATAGTAAAAATTGGTAGTGTTTGGAAAAAATGATTTTGAAAAGTAAAAGTTGACAATATTTGATAAAATAAGTGTTTTTTGTGTAATACAAAAAGTAAAAAGTGATGGATATTCATATATATATATATCAACAAAACTCCGTATGTAATACATATACATATATAAATATATAATAGCTAAATCCATATAAATCCATGAAATCAAATACGTATGAACTAGGATTAGAACAATACCTTGAGAATTCATTTGCATTAACACTTTAGGAACACTCAAGAATCCAACACGATTAATCGGCCTAACCTTCCAGTACTATGTAACAACGTATGAGATATTCTAATCCTATAATAGATGGGATATATATAGGACTAGGTTTATATGGTAACGGTTGGCTCTTATTATTCCTGATAATAATTCTTTAATCATTGCTGCAATAATGATATTATTTTGAATAATTTATTAGGCTATTTCCGTTACCATATATCTGTACTGTTATCTCTCAATTTACACGTACCGGGGGTCATAACCGTTGTATCACTTTAGTGTAATATATTTAATTTGACCCGTCACCAAAAGAAATATATTATCCTGGTATCTACACTTTTATTATTTCATGAATAGCCACTGTATTATTTATCTGATGGTAAACACATTTTAATTAATTACATATTAGGCCCCTTTTATTGTTTTCCAACAATCTCCCACTGGGCCTTATATGTAATTCTTAATAAAATGTGTTATCTTTATGAGCTCAAAAAATACCATCATATAAAATAATATCCTTAAACAATCTGGTCCATCAGTCATACTAATATAGAACCATTGCAGCATTTTGTTATGTTAAACATAACTATACCATCAATGATCACTAGTATCAATATTACATAATGACATAGATCAATCATGAAATGTGTAGTGTGAAAATTACATGAAATGTGGCATGTACATGTAAATTTTCAACTGACCCTTCTTTGATAAACTTTAAACTTTAATGACTTAATTGTTCAGAATACACTAAATGTCAAACTTTATTCTGATCAGAAAATAAATTCATAAATCAATAGAACATCAAGCATACTTATAAACTCCCACTAAACTTGAGGTTCCTTAAAATCAATGACTCCCAAGTGAGCAGTATGCTCATGAAAAACTTTTGGTGGGAGACCCTTGGTTAAAGGATCCGCTAGCATGGAGTTTGTACTTACATGTTCAATAGCGACCCTTTTATTCTGAACCCTTTCTTTAATAGCTCGATATTTCACTTCAATGTGTTTTGTCTTGCTCGAGCTCTTGTTGTTGTTAGAGTAAAGCACCGTAGAATTGTTGTCACAAAATATCTTGATAGGCTTCGAAACATCATTTAATATTTTCAGCCCATCAATAAAATTGTGCATCCATATTCCATGGTTTGAAGCTTCAAAACAGGCCAACAACTCTGCCTCCATAGTTGAGGTAGCTATCACATCTTGCTTAACACTTTTCCAAGATACAGCACCACACGCTAGTAGATAAACATAGCCTGAAGTAGATCTACTAGTGTCTTTGCAGCCGGCAAAATCATAGTCGGAGTATCCAACGACCTCCAAATGATCTGATTTTCTATATGTAAGCATATAGTCCCTTGTCCTCTTTAAGTATCTCATAACTCTTTTGGCCGCCACCCAATGAGCCATTCCTGGATTACTGAGATATCTGCCTAGCATCCCAACAATATACGCAATATCCGGACGCGTACAAACTTGGGCATACATAAGACTTCCTACAACAGATGTGTATGGAATCTTTTTCATTTCTTAAATTTCCAGATTTGTTTTAGGGCACTGATCGAGACTAAACTTGTCTCCTTTAGAGATAGGGGTATCACACGGTCTACAATCTTCCATGCCAAATCTTTTAAGGACCTTATCGACATAGTTCCTTTGTGATAACCTCAAGATTCCTTGTGATCTCTCACGAAGGATTTCAATTCCTAATACAAAGGAGGCTTCACCAAGATCTTTCATTTCAAAATGTTTTGATAGAAATATCTTGGTTTCATGCAACATGCCTATGTCATTAGTGGCATGAAGAATGTCATCAACATATAAGACCAGGAAAAAGATTTTACTCCCACTGAACTTATGATATACACAATCATCTAGATCATTCATCTTAAAACCGAAAGATAAAATTACTTGATGAAATTTGTGATACCATTGACGAGAGGCCTGTTTTAGCCCATAGATGGATTTTGTTAATTTGCAAACCATTTGTTTTGGATCTCCGATCACAAAATTTTCTGATTGCACCATATAAATAGTTTCATCAATGTCACCATTGAGAAACATTGTCTTAACATCCATCTGATGAAGCTCTAAATTAAAATGTGCAACTAAAGCCATAATGATTCTAAAAGAGTCCTTTGATGAAACCGGAGAAAAGGTCTCTTTATAATCAATTCCTTCCTTTTGAGTATAACCTTTAGCTACAAGACACGCTTTATATCTCTCCACATTACCTCTTGAATCCCTTTTGGTTTTAAGTATCCATTTACAACCAATGGGTTTACAACTTTCAGGTAATGGGACGAGTTCCCAAACTTTATTGTCTTGCATAGATTTATACTCCTCATTCATTGCCACAATCCACTTTTGAGAATTTGAACTTTTCATGGCTTGACGGAAGTTGATTGGATCATCTTCCATAACACCACTTTCTTCCTCATGTTCTTGAATAAACACAAGGACATCGTTCTTTGTATCCATGCTTGACGCATGTTCTTGGAGATATACAACATAATCATCTGGAATTGCATACCTCCTTTCTCTAGTGGATCGCCACAATGGCACGTTTTCTTGTTGCACTTGTTCCGGAGGAAGTTGAGTTTGTTCATTTTGAACAATTTGTTCAGTTTGGAAAGGAGAAGATGAAATAATGCCTTGTTGAGGTTCCTCATTAGTTTGAAAGGAAACATCCGTATGAATTGGTTCGGGTATTGAAATCAATTCTTCCTCAAAGACAATATCCCTAACTTTATTCTTCTCCCCAAACTCAACATCCTCGAAAAATATGGCAGTTCCCGTCTCAAAAATATTTTTATCCTCGGGATTATAAAATTTATATCCCCTAGATCGTTCCGAGTAACCAATAAAGTAACTACTAACTGTTTTGGATTCCAGATTCTTTTCATGTGGCCTATACGGCTTTGCCTCATCTGGACAACCCCAAATATGAAAATGCTTTAAACTAGGCTTTTTACCCGTCCAAAGCTCATAAGGTGTTTTAGTAGTTGCTTTAGTTGACACTCGATTAAGAATGTAAGCTGCGGTCTTTAATGCCTCACCCCAGAGGGATTCCGGTAAGATAGAATGAGAAATCATACTTCTTACCATTTCTTTAAGGGTTCTATTACGCCTCTCAGCTACACCATTCATGCTAGGTGAACCCGACATGGTGTATTGAGGGACAATTCCACATTCCTCTAGATATTTGGCAAAAGGCCCTGGACGTTGTTCACCTGAGCCGTCATACCTCCCATAGTATTCACCACCACGGTCGGATTTGACTTTCTTTATGCATTTGTTGAGTTGATTCTCAACTTCCGCTTTGTAAGATTTAAACGCGTCCAAGACTTGAGATTTTTCATGTATAAGAAATAAGTATGCATATCTAGAGTAATCGTCTATGAATGACACAAAATATTGTTGACCATTCCATGAAGGAGTAGGAAATGGTCCACAAATATCCGTGTGTATTAATTCTAAGACATCCGTAGCTCTATATGCGCCTTTTTTCTTATTTTTGGTTTGTTTCCCTTTAATGCACTCAATACAAGTATTGAAATCAGAAAAATCAATGGAATTAAGTGTTCCATCAGACACAAGACGTTCAACTCTATTTTTAGAGATGTGCCATAATCGTTTGTGCCATAAAAAACCAGATTGTGCATTATCAACCTTTCGTTTAGTGCATCGGGTGTCAACATTCAAAGCATTATTATATGAAGTTATTGTTTCAAGCATGTAAAGATTGTCATATGACATAAAAGAACCAGTCCCCACAATATTTGAATTTAAAGACAAATTAAACCGGAAGTTTCCAAAGGAACAATGATAACCTAATTTGTCCAAATAAGAAACAGAAACCAAATTCCGCCTAAATGACGGAACAATAAAAGTGTCTTTTAAATCCAAATAGAAACCGGTAGATAATAACAATCTAAAATGCCCAATAGCCTCCACATGCACCGCTTTGCCATCTCCCACATAGACGCATCTTTCAGCATCATTTGGCTTGCGGTGGCTTAGACAACCCTGCATAGAAATACTGATGTTAGATGTTGAACCGGAGTCTAACCACCAAGTATTTCTAGGCACCGAAGCTAAATTGTTTTCAGTACAAACCAAAGCAAGGACCGTACCTTTCTTCACTTTCCATGCGTGATACTTGGTACAATCCTTCTTCATGTGTCCAGACTTCTTACAAAAGAAACAGGTTGTTTCACCTTCCTTATGTTTCTTCTGTACTGGACCTTTAGCAGCTTCATTCTTAATGGGAGTTCTCTACCTCTTTTTACCCTTATCCTTAGAGGTACTAGCCAAGTGAGCACTTTGTGTCTTATTTTGTTTCATCCTCTCTTCAAATGAGCTCGTTAAGAGACCACTTCTCCTTTTGGCAGTTATAACTAACCTTAAAAGGATCAAATGCAATAGGAAGAGAGTTCAAGACTATGTGTACGAGAACATCTTCCGATATCTCAATCTTAAGTGTCTTGAGCCTATAAACAATATAAGACATTTCCATAATATACTCCCTTATATTTCCTTTTCGTGAATACCTTTTGGAAGTAAAGTCTTTTAACAGCATGCTTATTTCCGCCTTATCGCTTTTAACAAAACGTTTCTCAATTTCAGAAAGGAAATCCTTGGCATTAGTAACCTCATCGGATACAGCACCCCTAAAAGATTCTGAAATGCCACGCTTTATGATCATAAGACTTAAGCGATTCGAGCGATCCCACTTCTCATAGTACCTTTTTTCATCTTGGATACTAGCATCCGTAAGAGAAACGGGTTGCTCTACCCTTAATGCTAAGTCAAGATCCATGCAGCCCAAAGTTATTAGAATATTTTCTTTCCATTCCTTAAAGTTAGTACCATTTAGGACAGGGATGGAGTTGAGATGGGCAGATATGCTCGAAAAATTAACTGTAGAAAGAACAAGGACAATGAACATATGTTTTAGTGAAATTGTAAAATAATTCTTAACCCATCACAAGATACCAAATGCACCATTAGTATTTCATCTTTGGACAATAATACTAATTGCTAGTGGTACTCTTGTTGTGACAATAAAATATAACAATAATACATATAAAAGAAAAATCCACCTTTGGGTTGACTTTTTCTTTTAAAGTGCAACCTTATAATTGTTATATATTTGTTATTACCAAAATGTATATATATAACTTGATAAAATATTAATCTTCCTTTGGGCCGATTAATATTTACTTGAACTATATATACTATGTTGAATATTTTATATGAGCAACTTACACAATAGAATCACTTTGGTGACATATTGTTTCTATATACCCATTTAAAATACTAAACTTCTTTTTATTTTACAATTCCGTCACAGCACGAAAAAATCTTACCATAATACTCTACTACTTAAAAATTTGGCTTACGCCAATCAAATTTTATTGAATTATACATAATTTGACCATTGGTAATTGAATTCACCAAATTTGATTATAGAAATATCATGAGAGTAATCAACTTTAACATCAACATATTTCTAGCAATTCAATGTTGAAAAACTTGATACTACGTGTACATATATATTCCACCACGTGGAAGAAATGCATTGAAATAGCACTATATATACACATTCGTGTAAAACAAATTGCTTGACACCATAATTACGTTGAATTATATTCATATACTAAGGCATGGATTCATGCAATTAAGATCAGAATTGAAGCACCGAATATCTTTAACAAATTCGGACATGAATATTCAAGGGGAAAACATGCAGCGGAAAAATAAATATGAAACGGCAAAGTATCCCTCTTTAATTAGTAATTATAAGCATATGAAATGATTCTTTTCTTAAATAAACCAAAGTATATGAAACGGTTCCTTTTAAATAAATATACTTGAGACTACAAAGAGCCTTTGAACACGGCAAACCAAAACCGAGACAAAGTGCTTGAGTTTCATCCGATCAAAGTTTCATTCGTTCAAAAAAACGGGAAAATGCTGAATTATTGATAAAAGCTTGATACTCAATCGGCAAGAAAAAATTCCAGTGGCGATGTACATAAATATGTATTGATAAAAATATTCCTCACGAAACAACACTCAAACATGCCGCACAAGACTCCAATAATATGATATCACATATTAAAACAAATTCCAGACAACACGATGAACACATATACGGAATCAAAAACAATTCCATCGATCTATAATGGTAGGCTCTGATACCAATTGATGGATATTCATATATATATATATATATATATATATATATATATATATATATCAACAAAACTCCGTATGTAATACATATACATATATAAATATATAATAGCTAAATCCATATAAATCCATGAAATCAAATACGTATGAACTAGGATTAGAACAATACCTTGAGAATTCATTTGCATTAACACTTTAGGAACACTCAAGAATCCAACACGATTAATCGGCCTAACCTTCCAGTACTATGTAGCAACATATGAGATATTCTAATCCTATAATAGATGGGATATATATAGTACTAGGTTTATATGGTAACGGTTGGCTCTTATTATTCCTGATAATAATTCCTTAATCATTGCTGCAATAATGATATTATTTTGAATAATTTATTAGGCTATTTCCGTTACCATATATCTGTACTGTTATCTCTCAATTTACACGTACCGGAGGTCATAACCGTTGTATTACTTTAGTGTAATATATTTAATTTGACCCGTCACCAAAAGAAATATATTATCCTGGTATCTACACTTTTATTATTTCATGAATAGTCACTGTATTATTTATCTGATGGTAAACACATTTTAATTAATTACATATTAGGCCCCTTTTATTGTTTTCCAACAAAAAGAAGATTCCAACTCTTAGAATCATACTGAGTATGTGATTACATACGACCACCTATTTATATTGTTGTATCGCCAATAATTATTAATTCACCAAAAATAAATCGTACGTATTACGTACTACGTAATAGTGAAGTCACTAATTAAAGAGGACAAAGAGATACACTTCTCTTGCCGAGTGCTACCCTTTCATAAGGTTAAGACGAAATAAATGGAAACACAATGAATCATTGTTGTTGTACGCACTCTCATACCCACCTTAAACTCACTATGTTTATGGATGTTCTTTTTGTCTGTGAATTTGATTCACAGACAAAATAATTTGCACAGACATATTTTGTCTGTGAACGGGATTTTCAGATAAAAAAAACTTTGCACAAACATGGTAGGTACAAATGTGGGGTATAATGGTGGGTACAAACAACTTTTTTGAAACATAATAATCAAGCTTGAGAAGGCAACTCCCTAGGCAATTACAACCTTGATGTGTCGGATTGGAATATTTAGAGAGTGTTTGCAACTGCTTAAAAAAGCGCTTCTCGGCTTTTGGCTTAAAAAAACTAAAAATAGTGTTTTCAAATGACAACTTCAACTTAAAAATGTGTTTCTCGGTTTTCGTGTGAAAAATGCTTTTACTTTTTCTATTACACAAAAAGCACTTATTTTACCAAACATTACTAACTTTTTTACTTTTCAAAATCACTTTTTTCTCAAACACTATCAACTTTTACTAGTAATCAGTAATCACTATTTCCAAAATCACTTCCAAAAGGGTTTTTTTTTAAGCAGAAGCAGTTGCAAACACTCCATTAGAGTGTGTAAATCAGGGGCGGATGGCTCTCAGAGCTGAGCTGGGCTCCAGCCCAGCCCAATTTTTTTTCTATAATTACTACGACAGTATATACAAGTATATAAGTTTTATTATCAGCCCACTCCAAAATTTATTCCACTCGCAGCCCAGCCGCAGCGAAGAAACAAAATCGAAGAACGAAGACTGCGGCAGAGCTTGCGACGAAGAAGGCGAGAATCTGTGAGCTGCGACGAAGAGAACACCGAGCCATCCACGCCGCGCGTCCAGGGCGTTCGTCGTCGGCCGTCCAGCGTCCTTTCTCTGGACTCTGCCTCCAGTTCTGGCGCAGCCGCGCAGGTAAGTTTTTTTTAGACTTTCTCTTTTTTATTTTGTGAATTAGAAAGCAGTAAATGTTACATTGCATTTTAGAGTGTTAGGATTAGTCCGTTTGTGTTAACTTGTACGACGTATTATTATTATTTGAGTTTTTCATTGCAAAATTAAATTGGGCTAAAATTCATTATAAATTTAGAATTATTAAAGATAGAATCAAATCTTAGACAATGATTTATTGATTATACAATTTTGAAGATTAGAGAATGATTTATGTATTGTGTGGACATATAAGAAAATTTTGAAATTTGAAATTGGGAATACTTATTAGTTTTATGTACAGATTGTTTTTTTCTTATTAGTTTTATAATTTTATATTTTTATAGAAGTATTTTAATTCTCACCAATTTTGAGAATGTTTTTTAGAATGGATAATGAACATATTGCCTAGAAAGAAAAGAAGTTCATTTCGCCATTCTTTCCAATTGGAGAGTTTGATAGACATGTATACCGCAACTTGCAAAGTGTTTGATCATTTGGTTGATAACTCTCCAAATGAAAGATCTAAAGCGGCAGTTCTCGGAAACTATAAAAAATGGCAAGATTTGAAATCATATTTGTCACACTTGATAAAACTGAGAATAACTGATGCTCTTTGCCGGGTTCCTAAACAAAAACTATTCATATTTTCAATTCTATTACATTTGTTGGAACTACTAAAATTATCTTTTCGGAGTTAAGGGAATTTGGTTGAGAGGATTTTCTTAAAGAAGTCAAGAGTTGTTGCTATTCAATTGATATTGATGTTCCAAATTTGGGTGATCCAAATAAGATTGGGTGTTCTCGTTTCCATCCTATGGTAGTTGTAAAATCATTGTATTACATATATATATATATATATATATATATATATATATATATAGATTCTATTATTGATGAATTTTATACGGGTATTCACGCTTGAATTTGTTGAACTAGTTTTTGTACTGTTCTTCATTCTGTTTTGTGTATCTGGAATTCTGGATTGATTTTATGGTTTATGTTTTCTTTTGTTAGAGGCAATGTCGCAGGGCTATGCAATTGAGCTATACTTTGATCCTGCGCTTGAGAACCAGGTGTTGAAGGCATGGAATGTGTTAGCTAGAAGACAGATCAGCACTCAGCTCATTGAGATTGAATCCAGGCCGCACATTACCCTCTTCTCGAGCTCCCTGTTTGATCCTTTCAAGCTTGAGAGTACAGTGAAGAATTTTGTGTCAAAGCAAGAGCCTTTGCCCCTATCGTTCGCATCCATTGGGAGTTTCTCGAATGACAATAATCTGCTCTTTCTTGCCCCAACCCCAACTTTATCTCTCCTTCAGTTTCATTCGCAGCTGTTTGATTTGATGAGAAAGGAAGGGGTTGAAATGGGGGAGGAGTATCGCCCTGATACATGGCTTCCCTATTGCCCTGTAGCTGAAGGGGTGCCTAAGGCTCGTATGGCTGAGGCTTTTAATGTTTTGAGGGACTTGAAACTTCCTGTTTCTGGCTATGCGATGGATATTGCATTGGTTGAGTATCCTCCAGTGCGTGAAGTGTTCTCATTTGCGCTTGGCAATTCAGTCGATCCATGAGGTTTAAAAATATGTAGTTGTGATTGTATACACTTTGAGGTCATCATTATATATGATTGTTCCTCTAGAAACTAAGCATTGAGTAGTAATATTAACTATGCTGCTGTATTTACCAAACTAGGCTTTGTTTTGCTGTGACATTTATGTCATTTTACATTTAAATTCTGTTTTTCCATCTTTCTATTAGGTCATAATTACACTCGGTCAATCATGATATTTAGATTTTAGCATAGTGGCATGGCATGTCCTTGTTAGTATAATACAATCTTTGGCTGTAGTGATTTCTAATCAAACTAATGATGCCTCACACCAAAAAGTTCAGTGAGCTAGTTGAGCTCACTTATATTTAGCTGCACAATTCGTATTCCATTGGTGAACTATTTTTCCCAAAAGGATCCCATTTTGAGAGCTCACATATCGAGACTGGCAAAGTCATCGGGTGGCGTCTTAACTTATACTTTCCCAATCATCGACTGATCTATAATGTCTACTTATGCAAAAAAATGATGATAAAAAGATATGCTCACCTTTTCTGAGCAGCTGCAGAAAGCTTTGCTTCAAGTTGCTGAGCCAACTTCTCATCTTTCAAAGAAGATGACCAAGTCAAAAGTCTTGGTTTTGTGCGTGCTCTGGATGACAAAATTACATAAAATTGCTGCATTGGATTAAGACTCCTAATAAGCATAGCTGATACCAAAAAGGATATATAGTAGATAAAAGGAAGCACTCTGCTTTTAGAAACCCCAATTCATCCCATCAAACCAAGTCTTGAACCGCAAAGTCGATCAGTTGAATAGTTTTTTAATTTTACCTAGCCAACAAGCAGTATATATACCAATAACTAATCATTATCCAGGTTTCCTATCCTTCAGTTCCATTGTATCGGATTATCCTTCAGTTTTCAAAATACCATTTATAGCTTTAGATATCAAAATCAAGTTGCATGCACAGGTAAACATAAAACCACACCTATACAAGTAAAATATCAACTTACACCCAAACTTTTGTTCAAGTTTCTGTAAATCAACTTCAAGATCCCAGACCAGCGCAAAGTTAAACCCTGAAACTATAACTCTTGAAAGACTGTATATTGATTTACTCACCTCTCCTTGGATAAGTGTCGCTACTACTCTCCTATGCTATGCTCTGCTCACGCTACGTCTCAGGCTCTCAGCTTTGAAAGCAACACTCAACGATCAACCACCGTAAGTTTTCTTCTTCTTCATCGTTTCATTTTCTTTTTTCAGCAACTACTTCTTCTAATACACTCTATACAACTCAAACATATACAGTATATGTATACTAACAGTCTATCGTGTGTTACACTACTTGTTCTTCTTCTTATTTATTATTTCCATTCATGTATACTCCCTCCGTCCCCTTTTAAATGGGACGGGAGATGGTGGCACGGGTTTCAAGAAAAGTGAGTTTGTGTGGTTGATATTAATTGATAAAGTAAGAATAAAGTAAGAATGATTTTGAGCCACACAAAGTTTACCAAATAAGGTATGAGACAATTAAATAGGGACATCCTAATATGGTAAAACGGGACATTTAAAAGGGGACGGAGGGAGTACTTCATATAATCTAATCAATGATAGTTTCATAAAGTATATATAGTACACTCCTTCATTTCCCATTAGCCCAGGCAAACAAAAAAAGGCTGAACTAGTTATTATTCTTGAACTCTAATTATATTCTTGAACTAGTTATGAATGCTAAAATGTTATACTTATTGTTAAAATGTTATATCAATGCATATTTCTGAAGTACCATATTACATTAGACTCGCATATTAAATTAATAGGAGTGGATTATAGATATAAATTTAATAAGTTTTTATAAAAGAAAAATAAGAAAAAGAACTAGAAGATACGAAGCAGAGATCGTGATACTCATTATTAACATCCTAATACTCAATACAATACATCAGATGCTCACTAAAAGTACACTATTGCTCATTTAACGGAAGCCGTGATTTTCTGCTTAAATTACAAAAATGCGACCGAAAAAATTAGGCTGTACTAGTTAAATGAGCTGTCTTTCTTAATTAATTGGGCGTTTTTTGTGGGCTTTCATGAGATTCATTAAATTATATTGAGATTAGCCTGAAGCTTCAATTAAATTACAAAGACCTGGATGTACGGTTCTCACCCCTACACCCTACACCTAGGTGTAACTGATGGGCGTAGCTCAACTAGTAACGAGGGAGTGCCACAAGGGTTAGGTCCCAAGTTCGTCTCTCGTCAACTGCGATGAGAGATTACTCAACTGAGGGCCTCTGCAAGTATCAAGGATGTTGTCCCACTCTCTATCTGTCAGATTGTGATTATAATCCAGTTTACATCTTCCCATCGTGTCGTCCGATCGGTGTTGGGACCCTCAAGGTTGGGGTGTCATCCTTTGTTTTTACACCCTGCTTAGAATATAGGAACTGCTTTAGGAGTCCATATTCTTCCATTAAGGTAAAGCTGAACTCTTCTTCATCAATTCACTGCAACCCTAAGGTCGTATGTTTGCGTCTATGGAGCATTTCCACTTCTTTGTGCCTGCCCTTATGAATTTCTTGACCTTATTTTAGCATTCATGATAATAATAAGCATATTTGCATTGGGCAGTGTTGCTTTGCCTGTGCCCTAGCTGCATCACAAGCGAGAAGATTAACAGAGAAAGGAAGAGGAGAGGAGGAGGTGCAGAAATGGGAAGCTTCATATACCACGTATTCTCCTCATCTGGACTCTTCTCTCTGGGTCTCTTCCATCTGATCGCCGCCACCCGCAGCCACCTGAAGTCCCCCCGCGAACACTCCGCCAAGCCCTTCTACCACCTTTCCAGCTTCCCTTCATCGTTCCCCCGCCTCCGTCACCTCCCTCTCTACCTGATCTTCCTTTCCCTCTTCATCGCCTTTGCCCACCAAACAGTGATCTCCTTTGATTCCGACCCGCTCCTCAAGGGCCGCACCCCTGTCCACAGATTCTCCTCCCTCCAGTCCGCTGCCATCATTCTGTGCTTTCTCCTCCTCTCCCTCTTCCCTCTCCTCGTATCAGAACCCTCCTTGCCCAGAGATGAAATCTTCTTCGCCCTCGCCTCTGCACTCTTCTATCTCTGCTTCTATGCCTCATCGTCCTCTGCATTTTTTCAGACTTCTGATCTACAAGCCGAATGTGACACTGTGTCTGCCCGCATATCTGCCGCCTCCTCTCTCCTCTGCCTGGTTCTTGCCTGCAATTCCAGACTCTTTGTGGCTGAACTTCTCTTTGCTGCCTCAATTTGCCTTCAGGGACTTTGGGCCTTCCAAACTGGTCTCTCCCTGTACGTTGAGGCCTTTATTCCGGAGGGATGCCACAAACTATTGGATGTCGTCAGTGGTGTAGAGGGTTCCACCAAATGTGAATTGGAGGATTCCAAGCTGAGGGCTGTTGCTCTCCTGGATTTCATCTTTGTAGCCCATGTCTTCTTTGTGCTGCTCATTGTGATGGTCACTTATGCAGTTGCTGCCAGGACCATAAGGCGGTCTGGTTCCTATGAGGCTTTATCCACATCTGCTAGCCCCGTTGGCTCTAACCATATCCAGATGAAGGCCTTCAGCGGCACACAGGCTTAATTAGGATGACTGCATTCACTAGTGTTACTGTATTTTTTTTTTACTTGTAACAGTCACCTGTTGCTACTGAACTCCTTTTTTACTGCTTTTTATGATGGATGATAGAATAGATTTTGAATGTTCATCTCCCCTACCCCTTAGCCCTCTGTTTTTTTCCATCATTTTCCGTCTTCTGTCATAACAGTATTACAATGAAATATATAATATACTGGGATAAAATGTCATATCAAGATCGTAGCTTGATTTTCCGACCTTGTTGCCAGCAGATGTTTGAGATACTATGTATTTATTTTCTAGCTGCCACAGTGTCATTTAAGGAATTTAACCTGATATTGTTTTTGGAATTACCAGTTGATGGGTATTCTGCACTACTATAACTATCAACTTCTTGTCTAAGAAAGGGTTTTGCATCCTTCTGTTGTTTGATATGCTTGCTCTAGAAGACCAATTCAATGCTGCATCTAAAACTTCTATTTGAGTATCATCAATCTCTTTTTATATCTGCATTAAAAGTTAATTTCAGATAACAGCTTGTGCTTTTTCCTTGTTATCCTCTCGAAAACCCATTTAAACCAAGCACTGATGTTATTTTGAGTCTTTGACTTACTTACCTGTTGTCACTAGTCACATGGAAATTTGTATCACTTTGTGTTAAAAACGTTTTGAACTAATGGAAAAATTAAATCTGCACTTTTGTACCCTGCTATATTATTTTATACAGTGAATTGGACTATTGCATCTCATGTAATATTGTCATTTACCTTTATGTTTTGAAATTTAGGTAATGGCTTCCTCGGAGGCTTAGCAAACCAAGAGGGTTGTGTCACATATTTGTATTTATTCCTGTTAAAAGTATGCCAGTGTGGGTATCAAGATATAATTAGAGTTCAAGAATAATAACTAGTTCAGCCTTTTTTTGTTTGCGTGAGCTAATGGGAACTGAAGGATTATATAGACTGGTATATACTCCGTATACTTTATGAAACTATCATTGATTAGATTATATGAAGTGTACATGAATGGAAATATTAAATAAGAAGAAGAACAAGTACAGTTACACATGATAGACTGGTAGTATACATATATGCTTGAGTCGTATAGAGTATATATATAAAAAAGTAGTTGCTGAAAAAAGAAAGAATAAAGAAAATGCAAGATAAAAAAGAGAATTTTATACTATAGACTGGTAGTATACATATACAAAGTATATGTTTGAGTTGTATAGAGTATATTAGAAGAAGTAGATGCTGAAAAAAGAAAATGGAACGATGAAGAAGAAGAAGAAGAAAACTTACTGTGGTTGATCGTTTAGTGTTGCTTTCAAAGCTGAGACGTAGCGTGATTAGATCAGAGCATAGTAGTAGCGACACTTATCCAAGGAGAACTGAGTACATCAATTTACAGTCTTTCGGGAGTTATAGTTTTCAGGGTTTAACTTTGCGCGGGTCTTGGATCTTGAAGTTGATTTACAGAAATTTGAACAAAAGTTTGGATGTAAGTTGATATTTTAGTTGTATAAGGTGTGGTTTTATGTTTACCTGTGCATGCAACTTGATTTTGATATCTAAAGTTGTAAAATGGTATTTTGGGAACTGAAGGATAATCCGATAAAATTGGAACTGAAGGATAGGAAACCTGGATAATGATTAGTTATTGGTATATATACTGCATGTTCCTCTGCTTGTTGGCTTGATAAAATTAAAAAACTATGTAGTTCAACTGATCAATACTTTGGGGTTCAAGACTTGGTTTTATGGGATGAATTGGTATTTCTAAAAGCAGAGTGCTTCCTTTCATCCTCAATCCACTATGTATGAAGTATTGAAGTATGAACTCAAACTGCAGTATATTTGTGTGCAACGAAGAGGGTTGTGTATCTACTATATATCCTTTTTGGTATCAGCTATGCTTATTAGGAGTCTTAATCCAATGCAGCAATTTTATGAAATTTTGTCATCCAGAGCACGCACAAAACCAAGACTTTTGACTTGGTCATCTTCTTTGAAAGATGAGCAGTTGGCTCAGCAACTTGAAGCAAAGCTTTCTGCAGCTGCTCAGAAAAGGTGAGCATATCTTTTTATCATCATTTTCTTGCATAAGTAGACATTATAGATCAGTCGATGATTGGGAAAGTATAAGTTAAGACGCCACCCGATGACATTGCCAGTCTCGATATGTGAGCTCTCAAAATGGGATCCTTTTGGGAAAAATAGTTCACCAATGGAATACGAATTGTGCAGCTAAATATAAGTGAGCTCAACTAGCTCACTGAACTTTTATGGTGTGAGGCATCATTAGTGTGATTAGAAATCACTGCATTCAAGGATTCTATTATTCTCCAATGACATGTGAAGTATGAATATAATATGCTAACAAGGACATGACATGTCACTATGCTAAGTACTATGATTGAGTGATTGACTGATTGTAATATCTTTAGTTAAGGAATTTATGTGTGGGGGATAAATGTTCAGATCCATGGATTTTATTTTTTATTGTTTTGCTTATATGGACCTGTTTTTCCAACTTAGGTGGGAGCCTTTGCGGCTCTGGGGTAATGATGATGATGATTGCTTATATGGACCTTTTTCCAACTTAACCCGGGGCTTATGTGAAATCAACAACGGAGACACTGTTATATTAAATATGTATTCCTATTGGGAGTGATTGCAAAGTCAGTAGGGTGCCCTGCCGTTAACATTTCACGTTCCAGACCTGTTTAAATGTCCCACATTTCCGCCCCAAATGGGCCAAATCCATCACAAGTAGTTCACATATATACATATATTCATGTCCCGCTTC